GATAATGTAGATAGTTCCTTCATTGTTATATTTAATGAATTAAACCCCCTATTGAGATAAGGGTCTTTTCAAAACCATTAATTTACACCTTTTCTAAATAATTATAATCCGTATGACTATATCAAAGGATAATCAAAATATTAATTACCGCTCTCTATTGATTGCATAAATACAAACACACACACAAAACTACACATACGTAGATAAGTTGAAATTAAATTATCAACAGGATATCTTTATTATTATTATTATTATCATTATTATTATTAATGTCATTATTAATACCATCAGGCTCTTTGGATTAAACTCAGCGGCACAATATTCTAAGAGGATTGTTTTCTTAATTTTCTTTAATTTATACATAAAGTATTTTTTTACTAATTAAAACAAACAAGACAATTTATTTGTTAAATATTCAATGTTAAATATTTACTATTATTATTATTATTATTATTATTATTAAAACCCACTTTAATCAATATGAGTAGTATGAATAAATTTTTAATATTTTCTTTTAGAAAAATTAAGGTTTACACCCATTACAAGATTAAATTATTCATTTCCTTTTTTCTTTTAAATAATAGAATGAATGAAACCCCCCCCCTTTTTTTAGAAAAAAATAAACAGCAGGAAATTAGTTATTGTTTCATTGCGTTTTTTTTCTTTTTATATAATATTACTTATTTTTTTATTCATATATTATTATGTAATCATAACAATAAGATATAAAGTTCATTTATTGGTCAGAATGAAAGAAACCCATCTGATCAGATGATTATAAAATTATATATAATATTAGTTAAATAGAACAATAAAACAATAGTTGAGTATATATTGAATATGATTGAATAAACTAAGGGTAATAATCTTATTATGAATGAATAGTTAAATGTATGAATATTATCTGTCATTCAAATTGATTTATAGTTAGTTCATTTGAATAGATTGAAGTTATTATTATTACTATTATTACAACTAATGTAAATAATAATAATAGTAAATATGCTAATAAAAGTAAGATAATGTCAAGTCGAATGTAAGGTGATTGTATGCCTAAAAGATTACTTACTTACTTACTTACTTACTTACTCCTGTTACCCCTCGTCGAGGAGCATAGGCCGCTCACCAGCATTCTCCATCCAACTCTGTCCTGAGCCTTCCTTTCCAGTTCTTTCCAGTTGCTATTCATCCTTTTCATATCGGCTTCTATTTCCCGGCGTAGTGTGTTCTTTGGCCTTCCTCTTTTCCGCTTCCCTTCACCATTCCAAGTTAGGGATTGAGTCGTGATGCACATTGGTGACTTTCTTAATGTATGTCCGATCCACTTCCAACATCTTTTCCTAATTTCCTCTTCAGCTGGAAGTTGGTTTGTCCTCTCCCATAAAACGCTGTTGCTGATAGTATCCGGCCAGTGGATGTTGAGTATTTTGCGTAGACAACTGTTTATAAATACTTGTACCTTCCTGATGATGGCCGTAGTAGTTCTCCACGTTTCAGCTCCATACATTAGGACTGTCTTGACGTTCGTATTGAAGATTCTCACTTTCAAATTAGTTGACAGTTGTTTTGAGTTCCATATGTTCTTCAATTGTAGAAATGTTGCCCTTGCTTTGCCAATCCTCGCCTTTACATCTGCATCCGATCCTCCTTGTTTATCAACGATGCTCCCCAGGTACTTGAATGTTTCCACCTCTTCCAGAGTTTCGCCATCAAGTGTGATTGGGTTGGTGTTCTCCGTGTTGCATTTGAGAATCTTGCTTTTTCCTTTGTGAATGTTTAGACCTATCGATGCGGAGGCTGCTGTTACATTTGCTGTCTTCATCTGCATTTGGTCGTGTGTATGAGAGAGGAGGGCTAGGTCATCTGCGAAGTCCAAATCATCTAATTGATTCTGAGAAGTCCATTGTATTCCGTATTTCCCTTCGGATGTCGAATTCGTCATAATCCAGTCAATCACTAGAAGGAAGAGAAATGGGGAGAGTAGACAGCCTTGTCTGACTACTGTCCTTACTGGAAATGCATCTGTCAGCTGTCCTCCATGCACCACTTTGCACTGTAATCCATCGTATGAGTTTTGGATAATGTTGACGATCTTCTGAGGAACTCCATAGTGTCGAAGAAGTTTCCATAATGTTCTCCTGTCCACGCTATCAAGCGCCTTCTCGTAGTCAATGAAGTTGACGTATAGTGATGAGTTCCACTCAACTGATTGTTCAACGATGATCCGTAGTGTCGCAATCTGGTCTGTGCACGACCGATCCTTACGGAATCCAGCCTGATGATCCCTTAGTTCGGCGTCTACTGCGTCTTTCATCCGATTCAGCAGCACTCTGTTGAAAACTTTTCCTGGTACTGATAACAAACTGATACCTCTGTAGTTCTCTCATTTGCTCAGATCTCCTTTCTTTGGTATCTTGATGAGATATCCTTCTTTCCAGTCCGTTGGCACTTGTTCCTCTTCCCAAATCTTTTTGAATAGAAGGTGAAGCATGTTTGCAGTTATTTCAATGTCTGACTTCAGTGCTTCTGCTGGTATATAGTCAGGTCCTGCCGCCTTCCCACTTTTGATTTGTCTGATGCCCATCTTGATTTCTTCGATCGTTGATGGAGTGACATCTATTGAAAGGTCTGTGTGGGCTGCTTCGATGTTCGGTGGATTCAATGGGGCTGGTCTATTCGGCAGTTCCTCGAAGTATTCTGCCCATCTTTTCTTCTGTTCTTGAATCTCAGTGATTGTCTTTCCTTCTTTGTCTTTGACTGGTCTCTCTGGTTTGCTATATCTCCCTGCCAATTTTTTCGTTGTATCATATAGTTGTTTCATATTCCCTTCTCTTGCAGCTTTTTCCGCCGCCGTTGCTAGTTCTCCCATGTATTTCTGTTTGTCGGCTTTAATACTTTTCTTCACTTGCTTGTTTGCTTCTGCGTAGTCTGCTTGTGCTTTGACTTTCTCTGCTCGTGTTCGGCTGTTGTTAATTGCTAGTCTCTTGTTCTTCCTTTCTTGAATTTTGTCCAGGGTTCCCAGACAGATCCATTCCTTGTGATGATGCTTCTTAGGACCAAGAACCTCCTGACACGTTGAAGTTAGTGCTTCTTTTATCTCTTTCCAGTTGTCCTCCAAAGTAGTTTCTTGTTCTTTCAGTAGATCCTGTAGAGCTTGGAACCTATTGTTGAGAGTTATCTTGAATTCATGGAGCTTGTCAGCATCTCGAAGGAAGGCTGTATTAAACCTTTGTAGTGCTGTTTGTCCAGTTGTCCAGTCTTTCTTAAGCTTCAGTCTCATCTTGGCCACAACCAGGTGGTGATCTGAAGCTATGCCAGCTCCTCTCCGGGTTCTTACATCTTCCATTGATCTTCGGAATTTTTTGTTGATACAGATGTGATCTATCTGGTTCTCTGTGGTATGGTCCGGTGAGATCCATGTAGCTTTGTGTATGCGTTTGTGTGGGAATATTGTGCCGCCTATAACCAATTTGTTGAAAGCACATAGGTTTGCAAGTCTCTCCCCATTTTCATTTCTTTCTTTTAGTCCGTGTCGTCCGATTATATCTTCATATCCTGTGTTGTTCACTCCAACTTTAGCATTTAGATCTCCCATCAGGATGGTGAGGTCCTTTCTTGAGCACTTTGCTACAATTGATTGCAGTCTTTCATAGAACTGATCTTTATCATCGTCGTTGTTATCATTGGTGGGTGCATAACATTGGATAACGTTCATTGTGATCCCTTGCTTCTTTGTTCTGAATGATGCTTTGATTATCCTGGGTCCATGAGATTCCCATCCCACAAGTGCATTTCTTGCTTCTTTGGACAGCATTAGAGCAACTCCCTGAGTGTGTGGAGCATTTTCCCCTTCGTGACCGGAGTACAGCAGCATCTCTCCTGTACCTAGCCTTTGTTATCCAGTTTGTGTCCAATGGGTTTCGCTGATTCCGAGTACTGCCAAGTTGTATCTCCGCATTTCCATTGCTATTTGGCTGGTCTTTCCTGTCTCCCACATTGTCCGGACGTTCCATGTACCTATAAAGAGTGTTGCTCTGGTTCTTAGAAGGTGCATCGGTCTCGTGACTTCCGAAGAATTTCGGCTTTCATCATGAGACGTCATTATTCCTTCAACTCCCAGAGCAGAGTTTAAGTGGTTTGAATTATTTTTTCTGGTTAGCGTTTTTTTAGCGAGTTAGCTTTTCTACGGGATGGGATCGCTAACCCCATGCCCAACCCTCCTCCTTTACCCGGGCTTGGGACCGGCAGTAACTCTAGAAGAGCTACAGGCGGAGTTATGCCTAAAAGATATGTATGATATATTTTAGACACTAAATATATATGTACCATATTTTATCATTCGATTTGTGTAAGGGCTGGAATACTGCCTGGATGCTTAAGTCAAAGCAGGTGGTATGCTTAGACGGTCATATCTCAAGCTTTTGACCTGGGGATCTAGTCCACAAGACAGTGGAGCAATGTAAGGAGATGCAGTCCCAAGGTAATCAGTGACCAACAATAGGTTTATACTTCATTTGTTACTTCAGGATTCTGGGGCTCACTTACACCATGGGTTTGGAATGAGGGTTTTCCAACTCTCCAAGGTTGATCCTCTGTATCCAACAACCCGGTTAGAGCGTCGGATATTTACTTTTGTTCTCTCAATTTCGTTAAACAACACCCTTACCTCGAGAAGTGAGTGAGTAGGACTTTCCTAGAAGTGGCTGTATACATACTTAGGGAGTCGTTAAATAGGAAAGAAAATATTCAGCTGATATCACTTAGTAGCATAAATTATCTTTCAAGTATAAAAAATGTCCATAAAATATCTAAAAAGATATATAATTCAGCACTCTATACATATACCTACATATATATAACAGAAATACAGGAATCTAAAATGATGATTTTCATCTTTTTACACAACAATAGTTTTAATCAGAAACTTAAACTTGAAGTTTTCCATTTTTACCATCAACCACTTCGTTGTTTAATGTTTTTTTACATTGAATTTCTTCCAGATACTAAAGTACCAATGGTTGTAAATCATAATAACCAAATTCGTTTACAAGTTGGTGATTTACTGCGTCTTGAATGTCCTATTCACATTACTTCAACTGGCGGTCTAGTCTCTTCATCGAATGATAATGATGCTAGTTCCAAAACACATCACCCTGAATATAATAGTGGTGTTATTTATAATTGGAAAGTACGAGATTTACATGATTATTCATTGGATACCAATAATCATTATCATTTTAGTCAACAACGTCGTATTCTTGAAGTTACTGAACCATTACAAGTTTCCGATTCAGGCAATTATACTTGTTCTGGAATAACCGGTTTTGGAAAACGAGAAGTAACATTTGAAGTTCATGTAAGAGGTAAGTAAAAACTGTACATCGTTTTATTGATTTGTACTAAATTATAATGATTTCAGTTAAACAAATACAGAAAATTGGATCTAGGATAAGCGATTTGTTTTAATTTAACTGCAGATACTTTCTTTTTAGTGTCAATACTTCACTGAAACTTGATTCTTGTATTCTTTTGCTTCCAGCTTTAATTTCGTATCAGTTAATAAGCTACAGTGCACATCAATTGATTCGGTACAATCCTTAAGGAATAATATACGTAGTTTGAATTATTGAATTTTTGGACTGAATCCAAGCTTTAGCGAACATTTCCAATAGCATAGATTACTAAATATTGTCTGGTCACGGCCGTCTAGTGCTTCCAGGTTTTCCATGGTGGTCTAGCTTCAATTGACTCATGATGTCAACTATATAAAATATCTTAATTTTAAGTATTATTGATAAAATTGAAAAACAAAATATACTTTTTACAAAATGTAAGGTAAATTTAAAAAAAAAGAAAAATAATTTTTAATAAATGAATTAAATAAAATATATTGATTTTTAAATGATAATAACAATAATAATAATAAGGAACACTTTTATGTTTGATTCTTCAAATGACTCATCATTATTTTTTATTTCTAATTTTACTGAATAAAATTACTCCTTAGAAAGGGGTTTTGTAGAGATTTTAGTAATTTTATATAGTTGAAATCATGAGTCCATTGAAGCTAGACCATCATGGAAAACCTGGAAGCACCAGGCGGTCGTTTCGTCCTATTGTGAGACTCCTCTGCAGTGTGCACCCACTATCCCGCCTAGCGAGATTCGAACCCAGGATCTATTTGTCTTCTCAAGAAAAAAGTTTTTACGATTGATATTGCTGTTATTAGTACTGTTAATTTTGTTATAAGTAACTACATTAATAAGATATATTTATAAATAAACTGTTTTATGATGAAAACATGAAATATACATTGACCCTGAGTAATGTTGATAATTACAATATTCTTTAAAAACAAACAAACCTTGATTTATAAGAACTAGGTTGTTTTTTTATGAAAGGGAATTATTGATGTTTAATAAACGTAAGTTCTTACACTTTACACATATACATAGTTATGTATATTCTGTCATTTAAACAAATAGTACTTTTAAAAACCACTTATAACAATCACTTATAAGCATTCAACTCCTTAAAAAAAATTGAATAAACTTAATAAATGTTGTTTATTTATAAACATATGATAGTAAACTTTTGTATTGTTTGTAAATTTCCTTAGTAACTGATTACTCTAGGTAGAATAGTGTTATAAATACTTGAGATATTGTCTATGCTAAAATGGTGTTAGGACAATAAAGAATAATTATATAGGTAGAGGAATCAGAGACAATAAATTGAATAAAATATAATGAAAATTTAAACATTTCAATGGACTGAACAATAAACAATCTTTTTTTATATACTACTCAAATTAAGTATATACAATATGTATGAGTTCTGTTGAGAAAGAAAAACCTAATTCTAATTGGATTATCTCTCAATTTCGAATGCATAGTTTTCTATAAGAAGTTTCATATACTGATAATCAATCATGAGAGAATATATATATATATATATATCATATGTAATTGTAATTGGCATGAATTCTTCATACTTATCAGAAAGATCAACTTATTTGAGAAGTAAACATAAATCGTTAATCAATGTTTTCTTTAAGAGATTGCGTGAACTTTTCTTATGTATGTATATCAGACAAGAATAATCTTTTTTTATTCGACCTAAATCAAACAGGAAATTCTTTTTATCTGATATCAACTGTTATATTAAATTTATAAATTCCAAATGATTATAACATTAAACAATTTCCTATCATATATCGCATGTCATGTCTATCATGATGGATGTATATATATATATATTTGGAAGCTAAAATAGAAGAAATGTTCTTTGATGACAAAACAAGATAACTTAATCAGTCATAAAGAAAAAGTTTTTTGAATGAATCTATCATATTAGATTATTCTATTAAAATCTAATATTACATAAACAACTTGATACTGACGATCTGAAATTTGATATTTTAACTGAATTACTAAATAATAACCATAATACTACCCAAATTCTTTAAGTATATCCTAATGAAAAAAATATTGTTTCTGTCTGATCTTACAATAACAAATGTTGAAAAATTTATCTTCGTCATTATAACTATTCTATATTGTAAGAAAAAATGGTTAGTGGCTAGAAGTAGAATTCAGGATATGCGTTTAATCCTATTTAGAACTCGTCAGCTGAGTGTACCTGGATCTCAGAGTTGATGTTTACTCTGGGACTCGAACACAGTACCTGTCGCTCCAGCTGACGAGTCCCAAATAGGACGAAACGCGCATCCTGGATTCCACTGTCCATCTTTGCTTACCACGCTTGTGAATTTAGGCTATATAGAGGCGATACGCACAGTATGCAAATATGTTAATTAGAGACTGACCAGTTGCAGTCCTAAACATCAATGGGAGATTCAAACAAACAATGCTGAGTAAATTTATCCTATATTGTGTTTTTAAAAAAATAAAAAAAAGTTTGAATGAAGATCAACTGTGTATATTACTAGCATTATAGTGTTGTTAATAGAAAGTAGAGTTTTGAAGACCATAGAATGAGATGAAATCAATGTTCACTCTATTTTCTTCAGATTTGTATTTAGTATCTAAGTACAAATATACAAAAAAACTAGTTTAACTTTAAAACACTTTACCTTCCAACTACTAGGTTATAAGTTTAACACATTACTGAAATTATACTCGGTTTGATATCGTCATTTATTCTCATGAAAATAAACACAGGATTTATAATTAATAACGTGAATTTATATTTAGTCATAAGTAACGTGAATTAGTTATTGAAATTTGACTAGAATAAAGCAATAAAAAGAAAATCAACCTTTGGATTTATTATTTTATATTATTATTAACTTTATTCAATAATATATTTTCGGTACAATATAGAATTCTTAGCATAAAATATCTCAGCGAGTTTCCTTTTCTTATTTCTTGATTGATATTGACGATAAATGTTAAGCGATCATCAGTTAGATGTTAGCAGTTGACAAATCGTCATCTGAATAATGTATATTCTTTTCAATCCATATTGAAAGACACTATGATGTCGCGGATTGTACATTTTTGTAACTTGTACTGCGAAATGTCGTAAATTTTTTTTACAAACACATCTGAATAAGTTATGCAATCAATTGATAAAATGATGTGTTAAAACGAACAAGAAAACAGATAACTTATTGAAATATCTAGATGTCGGGAACAGGTAGCTCAGATATTCAAGCAGGCCGCCAAACAGGAAAGTAACCAGAAATAATCTTTAGGAGTAAACTATAACGTGATATTTTTATGGTAAAAATAATTTTAATAAATAATTTAAAATGTACTTGTAAATAATTAGTCCATATTGTTTATGAAAATATCTCTTAAGATTCTCAGCTTTCATGAGCAAAGCAACTATAAACCAACTGTTCTGAAATGATCGATTTCAAATATTTCATAGATATGTAGTAAAGTTTACGGAAGAAATGGATGAGACTGTATTCTTTTTAACTTGTATTAATGTTAACGAAATTGTAAAAAGATGCCAAATGAAACCTTTAAGACTTGAGACAATTTTTGATGGCATTGTTAATTAGATTCCTTTCTTGAATTATTCGAGACTTTACTTTCTTTTATTACCTCACTCATATCACTGTAAGATCCAATAGTAAATTACTTTTTTTACCTAAATCTGATTTACCCTTATTCATTATGATTATTCTAAGGCGTTAATCGAGTTTGAATATTGTAATTTTTATTACTCATTAGTTGCTAATCAATTAAAATCAATTTTATGCTGTTCAAACCTCAATAATGATCAGTGATGTTGCACGACTGGAAGTAGTTGGGCAAAGAACCTATGAACATGGCTCCGAGCTAATTACCATTCCATTACGAGGCCATTATGTTATTTTCTTGGAAACATTTGTTTTTTTTGTCTAAAATTATTTATTAAGCTTTCATGAGTACAGACTGATGACCTTCAGTTGGAATGTCAGTTAGTAAAGTTTACCGCACATTAATTTACAATATTAATGAATATGTACTTTAATACAGGTAAACAGATGTTTATAAAATGATTAACCCCTCTACTGGCCATTAATTACAAAACACTGTCATCCATTAATTTCTCACGAATTTGTTAATTAGGTCAAATTTGATTGGAAAAAAAAATTTTGTAAAATGGTTGCTTGTGAAAAATTCATCTAACTCATTTATCATATGGTAAATGTTGAAATATTTTGGAGGGGATACTAAATATGGTATTTAAAAAGTACAAGTCTCGTGAAATTTTGGTAGCTGCAGTATTTCTAACAGGTGTATGTGTGAAGTTAATCTATACAATAATATTAATAAAACAGACCATAAGCATAAATAATCATCAAAAGGTCAACAGATATCTAAAACAAAAGAAATGATGCTCATCTTTAAAATGACAATATCGGTTAAATTTAAAACAACAACAATAATAATAGTTATAAAGCTATAAAAAATTATTAAAAAATTTGAACTTACTCTTCGACGTTAACATTTTATGTGAGACGATGAAATGAAATTTATATTGATTATGATCTTCTTAAAAATGAGGTCATTTGGCGTGAGAATTCATTTGAACATAAAATCAGTAAAATGTTCTGTCAGACACTATACTTACTCACACCTGTTACCCCTCATGGAGAAACTTAAGGCTCACACCAGAGTTCCCCATCCATCTCTGTCCTAGGCAATCCTTTTCCACTTATTTACAGTTGCTATTCATTCTTTTGATGTCTACTCCCAGTTCCTAAAGCAATCTGTTCTTTGGTCTTCCTCTTTTCCCTTCCCCTTCATGATTTAAAGTTAGGGCTTGTTTTGTGATGCAGTCTGATGATTTACTCAATATGTGTCCTATCCACTTCCAACGTCTATTCCTAATTCCCTCTTCAGCTGGAAGCTGGTTTGTCCTCTCCCACAATAGGCTTTTGCTGATGGTATCCGGCCAATGGACATTTAGTATACTGCGTAGACAATTGTTTATAGATACTTGTACTTTTACGAAGGTGTTTGTTGTAGTTCTCCAAGTCTCGGGGTCGTACAGTAGGACTGTCTTGACATTCGTATTGAAGATTCTCAATTTGATTTTGGTTGGCAGTTGTTTTAAGTTCCATATGTTCTTCAACTGTAGGAATGCTGTTGTCGATTTGCCAATCGTCGCCTTTACGTCACACACTATATCATTATATTATTTAGTTTCAGCTAATAAGAGGAGGTTGGAAGACCTAAGTTAACTATATAGGTTTACATTTGCCAGAATTTCAATGGTTATTTTGAATAAATCAAAGGATGAAGCTGGTACCAGGTTGTAAGATAAAAAGTCTGAGTCATTGATAGTTTGGTCTGAAAATCGGTAGTCAACTGGAAGGTTATAATGGTTATGAGTTTATAAACTTAGTTCATGCTTTATCTCAAACCTGTTGCACTGAGGGAAGACAAATTTATTCAGGTTAGATCTATTACTGTTGTTAAGTAATCTTAAGGTCTTGACTAAGTCATATACATTTCAATTTTCAACTCATCTGTTTTCATGTTAGGGCTTAGAAAAAATTTAAAACCATTATTTTTGTTTTTCGTTGATTCATTTCAAATAGCCCAAAACCCAATACAAACTCCTTCTGAATAGTTTTTTAAGTTTGGAACGAAGAAGTACAGTAAACATTATCTTAGACTTTCTTGTGTATAACTATAAAATTTGTATCTTTTTAAGGTATGCAATGTAATTTCATCCATGCTTTCAATGTATAGCTAAAAAATATGTCAATCATTTATTCGTTAATTAGATTACTTTGAACATCGATCACATGAATAGTCTCCAATAATCAACGGATCCTTTTTGACTGACAACAATTAGTTTTACATTAAAAATTATTTCTTAAACACAACTAACTTTTTTTTCTTGAATTACAGATCCTAATGTCAATCTTCTATGTGCTGTCCCAAATATAGAGAATACAAAAGCGAAAGGTAAACTTACAGTACAAAAATAATTACTGAATTGTATATTATGTACATAAATAACTTATTTTCACAATTCATGCACACTTTTGTTTACCATATAGACAATGTGGTTATATTATAAAATATACCTGCTTCGGTCTGGGTACCCGGTCAGTATCACAGCCCTCACACACATCAAATGAGATTTGTGTGGCGCATATATATCTGATGCCCCTTCGTACCAATATCTATGTGTTTAAATAAATAAATAAATATAAAAATCGCATGTTGATACTGACATAAAAGTAAGTAAACACTAAAGTATAGTTAAATGCAAAAAATTCTGAGTAATTTAAAACAAGGAAAATAAATGGAATATCACATGGTCAATCGGTCAGTTGTAGACAACATTAGAAAATGGCATTGATTCAACTTTTCATACTTCATATCTATACAACAATAATAATAGAATAAATGATTCAAATATAGAAAATAAGATTCTGAAAGTAAGGGTCATATTGAATGAAATTAGGACTCAAGGTTGAGAGAAGAAATGTTGAATTAATATATGCTACTCTAATTGATTTCGTGCCATAACACCAGATGCTATCAAACTACAAAATAAGCATCCAACAAATTGAAAGGGTAAAATAAACTTAAGAATTTAAGAATAAGTCAGAAATTGTAGTATTACAAAGAATATTTATTCGATAGTAATTTAAACACGTTTCCTAAAATCTCTTATCATGACTACTTCATCTAGTCACACAAATACTACTTCAAACTACTAATTTCGAACACAAGTAATCTAATTGAATAATTTCAAAAGTTCTGAAGTGTATTTTCATCTATTATTCTCTGTAAAACAAACAAATGTTCACGTAACTTAATTATTTCATGTTAAATTCTGTAAATTAAATAAAAATATGATTTTCAAAGTTGAATTCGCTAGTCGATCTAAGCTAGACCACCACTGAAAACCTGGAAGCATTGGACAACCGTTTCGCACAAGTATGGGACTCATCAGCAGTATGCACCCACTATCTCACATGTGGGATCCGAACTTAGGACCCCCAGTCTCACGCGTGAACACTTATCACCTAGACCACTTAGCTGGCACCTAACGATGCTGATGCTTAACTTAAAGCAATCTATGTTTTTGAGCATAGCTTCATCCATTGGTTGCGGTCGATGACTGTCTCACACCCGACATGGATTGAACTTCCCTGATCACGGAGTGGATTTTATCCACTATCACTAAGATATTAGTTACTAAACTCAGATCGACTGCTGAATTCAACTTTGAAAATACCACGACCTCCACAAATCATCATATTAAAAAAATATAATTTTCTTTTTTTGTCGATACAGCCCCATGTTTTATTGATACAGCTTTGAAAACTAATCCATCAATTAGTTTAGAGAGACTTATTGGTTCATCTGTCACATTTAATTGTGAAGCTGAAGGTACTGAACCCATAAAATATAGATGGTTTATGGGTAGTGCTGTAGCTGATTGGATAACAACTGGTCAAGGTGTTCGTGGACCAATTCTAACGATTGATCGAGTTGGTCGAGAACATACTGGACAGTATACTTGTCAAGTTTCAAATTCAGTGGGAAGTCTAAATTACACTTATAGACTCTTAGTTAGTGGTGAGTTGTCCAGATTAATTAACAATTTCAATACAATATGTTATATAATCTTGTTTAGTTGCTTGTAAATTCATTTTTATATTAAATATCTTCTTTATGTTCCCTGTTCAATGAAATATACTTCTATGTATTTATTGGTCCACCAGGGCTCTTGTTACCTGTGTGGTTGCGCCACAGGAATGAGAGATACTATTCAGATTGTAGCGTTAAAGTCTATATGGTGTCTGGTTTCCTGTGAAGCAAGCTAAAGCTGTCTTGCTCGGGATATAAATTTTAGGCCTGGGCAGTGTCTGGCTCTCCTGTTAAACGGGATTGATGTGTAACGTTCGAGTTGTCACGTAAAATAGTGTTATTCTAACCCGAAAAGTTATAAATATAACTAATATCTTTTGTGAACAATTCAAGAAAATACGTAAACAGTAATAAGAAACGGAAAGAAATGAAATTCTTTTCAATTATTTATTTCATTTATTCTTATGTCTTACTGATTTATAATGAATGATAAAGAATGATGGACAAATTGAAGAAGTAGAAGAAAAGAGTATTCCTTAATGCTTGTTTTATTATTATACTATTATTTTATTTAAGTCTGGGTCATTTTCCACGTTATTCATCATTATCAACATCATCCACTCATTATTATTATTATTATCATTATTATTATTATTAATGATGTAGTGGAATTCCAAAGTATTAACAATCTGTCAATTAATCCACTCATCTTTCGTTTACACACCTTAATTTCTTTTCATACACAATCATTATAATTATAATAGGAATTGAAGTTTGATTATGATGGTTATAATGATAATAATAATAATATTCTTGGTGTTATTAGAAAAACAATCACCTGTCAGTAATGCATTGAAATGCAAACAAAACAAAAAACGTTTTCTAACGTTTAAAAAAGAAAACAGTTACTTTTCTATTCTTGTACCTACCTTTCAGTATTTAATATCTCTCAAATAAAATATGTAAAGAGTTTTCTGTTGTATTATCTGTCAAATGTTCCCTAAACTTTCCAGGTTATCTGTATCAGTGTAAAATGTACACGAAAAATATTCTTAAAACACCACCTCTGGATTGATGAATATTTTCTAGATGGAACTGTGAATATAATTCATTTTTGTATTGATTGTTTGGATCTTCCTATTGGTGTTTAGGATTGCTATTAATCAGTCTCTTATTGGCATGTGTGCATCTTATGCGGATTGCCCCAATATTGCCCTCAGTCACAAGCATTACAAGCATAGATGGATAGCAGCTAGCATTTGAATTCAGGGCACGCGTTACATTCTATTTGGCACTCGTCAGCTAGGTGTAAATGCATTCCAGATTTGATATTCAGTGTGAGACTCGATCCCAACACCCTTCGCCATCAATCTTTTCTTACAACGTATAACAATACCAAGTGAATTTAAAATTCACCCCATTGCACAAGCAAGTGGCTATCAGGACTCAGTAGCTGAGTGGATAACACGATAGCGTTTGAAGCAAAAGGTTCTGGGTTCGCATCCCAGAGCGAACATCAATTGTAGGACTCACGTGCATCCAACTGATGAGTCCCATATGGGATGAAATGGGCGTCTTGGATTCCACTGCAAATCATCATCCACCCCTACTTATGATGAGACTGACTTTTTGTCATTTTTAGATGATAGGCAACCGATTTGCACAAAATATGACTAACTCCTAACTTGTAACATTCGGGTCACAATTTCAAACCCTAATGCACTCACTTCAGTTTTGACGACTAAATTACTTCAGTAGTTACAAACTGGAAAAATTTTCAACTAAGAGTTCGTTAATGCTCTCGATAATCAAATTACATGAAATAAAAAGTTATAAGACTAGTCTTCGGTGGTGCATCACGTATTGGAGCTATTCATCTATTCAAACTCATAAGTTGATAACAAAATCTTTAAACTTCAGACTAATCTATACTAACACATAATGTATATTTTCCCCCGGTTATGACTTGATTTGTTAAGGCTGATTCACTCTGTCTTGGTCATTCACGATTCCATTTGATAGGAAATTAGATTTTTCTTTATTATTTTACTTGTTATTGATTGAATGACCCTCTCATTTTTTCCCATTACACTGATTTATAGAACCACCATCAGCTACACCGAAAATTCTTGGTCCTGTACAGAATTATACATTTAAAACTGATGATAGTGCTACAGTTATCGCCAGAATAAAATGTGCATGTGATGAACCTGTTATACAAGTAAGTCATAATTAATATTATTAATTAATGACACAATTATCAGTAATTATGTAAATTTTATTGTTTTATTTATTAAAATTTAAAAAAAATAAAAGAATCTGTAGCCTGAGTTTTACTGGTTAAAAACACTCTATAAAATCACATTGATAAGTTGTAGTATTGAGTCGTAAGCAATAAATTATCTTTATTTTACTAGTATGGATGATTTGTGAAGATTTTAGTATTTTCACGATTGAAATCACCAATGATTCTGAGCTAGACCACCATTAAAAACCTAGAAGCCCTGGATGTCTATCTTGTCCAAGCATAGAATTTCTCAGCAGTGTTCCAGAGATCAAAGGTACTTAGTTCAGGATTGTGGATGCGTATTGCTGAGGGGTTCCATACTAAGACAAGAAGGCCATTCAGTGCTTCTGGATTTTCAATGATGGTCTAACTTCTATTGACTCATATTTTTTAATTTTAACTAATATTTTTTTACCTAAAAATGTTTTGTCTTTTACAGTTTTTTAAAAGTTTATATCAAGTATTATTAATTGTTTCAGTACTATTTGTAACCATACTGTAGTGAATGAGAACACGGTCTGGACAATCGAATGTAATTAAACACAAATTGCAGACTATCTCACTAAATTCTGATAACCATACAGCAAATAGTTAATTTGCAAAATAACAATCAATTGTCTCAATTTTAACTGTTTCTTCTGCAAAATATCGGTCTGTCTTCTATGATTTCATTGGTTATACATTTTTGTACGGATTGCGCTTCATTCCTGTTCGTTCCTCATCGATCTTCTAGTGAAATACACTCTATGTTTGACTATCACCATATACTACTTATATGGATATAAGTAGACCACAGTACAATACGAGTTATGTATTATATCTAGAACAATATAAGAAATTTGAATAACTATATCATAATAAAGTATAGACTTAACACAATTATTAGAAATTAATTAGTTTTTGTCAAGATAATTCAATCCTGAGAATAATTAATCATTTTATGACTTAAGAATAAAAGAGTTTCATAAACGATAATACATATTTAGAAGGTAAGCATAAGCTTAAAATTTGATGAAAATTCGAAAATGAGTAATAAATAGATATTAAGGATGATTATCTATTCATAGACACGTGTCATTTTTAATATGGAAAATGCCTAAGGGTAATAACAGTTTCATGGATAAAAAACAAAAACGAATTAATTATCGATAGATAGAATCGTACTAGAAAGAATAAATGAGAAGTAATTAGAAAAGAATCATCAAAAACACTTCAAAAATTTCAGTAGTTTAAATTAAAGTTTGATAGTGGTTAGTAGTATAATCGTGGATATACTTCTCATCCTATTTAGGATATGTCAACTGGATGTACCTTTACTTCAAATGTTATTGTTTACACTAATATTGAAATGTAGTACTTTTAGCTTCCATTAACCAAAGATTCATTCATCTAGCTATTGAATCCAGTAAGTCATTAACTTATGTATGTAGTTTTAATATTACCTTTAGTTAACAAACCAAACACAACTGTATCAGTAAGGATTTTGAAAATCAGATACTGAAAGTCGTTATTATTTAAAATATTTCCACTCCTTAGTATATTTCATTGATAACGTGACTCGAGAAAATGTAATCTATCCAGCAAATAGAGGGCAGGCTAATCAAGTTTGCAACATTTTTGCATAAAGTTCAGTTGTAATAACCAGCTGTCGAAGGTAAATTAGGCAATGAAAAACTAAAACCTACTGTCCCATGACTGAAACTCATGTGATTTAACCATTTAATTCTCACTTTTTTATAAGATGTAATAAACGTGAAACGAACTTCTCTGGTTTGGTTTAAGTAAACTAATCCAAGAATTAACTAATAAACACGATTACTGATTTAAGTTAATGATCTAGTATTATGTGATCATGAAATTATTTCGAACTTTGAAATTGATTTCTTCTTGAAATAATTAAGGATGAGAAAAACAAAAACTATCACGTTTATTGGCCTCATGCAAATAAAATAGCGAATAATGTAAACTTTTTTGATAACTAATATAATCGAGATTATCCTTACCATCTAGCACGTTATAGATTTTTAGTTTTCTTAAATAACGATATTGGTGAGATTATAATTTATGGACGACCTTTGAGCGATGCTAAAGTGACTTTGATAATATCTGCTTACTAACTAGAATTAAATAAGGGTTACAAACTGATGTGAAGAATTATAATTATGATTTACAGTTGATGGTTAGAGTTTGGAATAAGATATAGGGTTTTCATCACTAACTGACATTAGCCAACATTTTAAAACCCTGTTTAACCAAACGGATTAATGAATTTTGCGCCAAAATCCATGACCTGTTATCTGATATCTGACTGGTTCGTTCATAAATTACAGTCTCGCAACTATATTTACTTCAATTGCAATAAAGTTAGCAATCTCAAAGTTAACAATAAATGATAGAATAAAACAATGAAATAAAAGTTAATTGTTGTTAAGTAGTTGGAGTTGACCAAAAAATACCACAAGCCTCCTTTTCAAACAAGGTGACTAACATTAAGAAAGATGCATTCTCAATCCTAATAAAACTCATGTTGTCGAAAAAACTGTAGCATACACCAATTTGTTAAATAGTCGAAGCAGTTATAATAATTTATTTGGGCTATAAATGAGACTAAGATGTACACAATAATCGGCCATTGAGTAGTACAATATTATGAACCTAGTGGTTACATTATAAATGTGATCGATAGAATTAATTTAGTGAAATACATTAGGCAAATTGATGTTGATTAATACCTAGTGATTGATCAGCACAAAATTTAGTTAACGAATATCAACTAAATCAGAAAACGTTCTCATTGAGTTATTTTTATATTGCTTATCCTCATTATCTATTGTCAAGATACATCTGGATTCTGCGAAGTAACAAATAAAGTGTAAACACACTGTATAACTAAGTCAAACTTTCCAATTTTTAATAAGATTCGGTCTCAAATTAACAGTTTCATCACTAGTATTCCCAAGAACTTCAGGTAATGAAGATATAATAAAACGTCTACACTTCCAAATAATTAAATTCTTAGGTGTTTCAGAAATAACAGATGATTAGATTGAGATTGGCAACAGAGCGCCAAATGCATTTGAACCATTGGTTAACCTACTTTATCTTGAGCATCTGGACAGTGCGTTCTAACTTTGTGAGACACTTCTTCACCTCAGGAAATGGGTGGGAGTTGCTCAGTAGCATGGGTTGAGTGAAGTTGGAAATTAACACCGTTAAGTTCAGACTCAGTAGTCTAAAGAAAAAGAGTTCGCACAAGAATTCAAAGATCCTGGGTTTGAGCCACGTGTGACGTTGTGCATTACTGAAGAGTCCTATGCCAGGATGAGGGGGATGTTCAGTTGATTAAGGTTTTCAGCGGTAGCCTAAGACCAGTCAATAGGTTAAACCAGTATTTTTGTTTACTAACATTTGATTCATTGTGGTTGTTTGTCACAATAAAAAGACTAACATATAAGTATTTTAAGCAGAGACGGATGGTGGCTAGCAGTGAAATCCAGGACACTCGTTCCTTCCTATGTGGGAATCGTCAGCTTGATGCAAATGCATCCCACAATTGGTGTTCACTTTGGGATACGAACCCAGCACCTTTTGATTGAAATACCGTCACGTTATCCACTTAGCTACTGAGTCGTGTAAGCCCTTGGCTTGTGTAATAAGATGATTTTCAACTTTCATTTACATGCATTAGTTGTTTTTATCTTCCCACTGATGTTTAGGACTGAAATCGATCAATATCTTTTGGCATATGTTTAAATTAAATGAAACTGGGTTCGTGTCCCAAAGTGAACATCAACACTAGGGTGCATATATATCTAACTGACGATTCCCAAATACAACGAAACGCGTGTCCTGGATTCTACTGCTAGCCACTATCCATCCATGCCTAAAATGCTTGTGACTGAAGGTAATAGCTAGGCATTCTGCACAAGATGCACATATGCCAATAAGAGACTGATCAATTACAGTTCTGAAAGTCAATAGGAAAATTCAACCAACTAATATATATGAATTTAAACTACTTTTAAGTAGTTCCAATTTTTTACAGAATTTTTATATATATATTAATTATTATTATCATCATTACCGTAATTTTTTTCTAATTACTTTTAAACATCTAGTGGTTAAAACGAGTTGAACCAGGAGAAGAGTTAATGTACGAACAATCAGGTGCAACCAAAATTCCATTACCAAATGCAAGAATTACTGAGCAAAATGAAGTCTATGTTATCTTAGGCTCGTGGATTAACTCACCTGCTATTGTAGAAAAAACAACAGCCTATACAGATAGATTAGACAATCTTCATGATATAAAAACATCACCGATATCATCAACATCACTAAATGGTAATATAGATGTAAATCATTTACAAATTATTGATAGTAATAATGACGAAAAACCGTCAATTTACTTTCAACCTAAAGTGAATTACAATAATAAACATAATCAGAAGAAAGAACAATTATTCATGACTAAATTACGATTTCAAAAACCATTGAATAAAGAACGACATGAAGGAAAGTATATTGTTATGACTATGAGTTTGTCAGATGTTAAAAGTTTAGAATATATTGTAATATATGTGAATATAGTTCAAGGTAAGTTCAAAGCATTTTCTCCTTATAACGATTGTAATATTTGTAAGCTTAATCATTTTTAAAAGTTGACTTTGATAGACTGTAACAATGCCAAACTCTTGTCACACAGTAAGCGCTACACTTTTTGTAAGGATCTAATCGAATATGACCAAAGACGAGTACAATACAGATGTGAATTGAATAGTATGGCTTTAAAACAATAAGGTTCATAAGAGGAAAATGGTTCGACGAGGCAGATGAAGAATGTATATAAGTTGTTTAATAAGCATGTAGTGGCTGGTATTATGTTACGCCTACATGGTTTATTATAAATTCTAGACAAATCAATTTATTTGTTCTTCTTGAGTCATATTTAGACATTGTCAATTATTCGCTTATTAACCTTAAGTGTTTTTAAATGAGCTTGTGTGTTAATCTCTTACCCTATTCACCACATATCTGTAACCTATTTTTGTCTAACCATAAATATCGATTCACGCGTAGGTAAATCGTGTTGGCTCACATGCCTTCTCCGATCCGTCTCGCTTTGCTTCTCCAATCGTCTGTCTGAATAAATGATTACATGAATTATACGTATTGGAAATCCATTTTCCTATTTAACTTATTTCATTCCCTTATTTACTAACGCGAGTTAAGTCGATGATTATATATGATGGTTAGCAGCATGTATGTTTCCATAATAATCAGCAAACGATCGAATTAGAGTCAGATACCGAGCCACCTAGAGCGCTCTATATTATTTTTTAGCCAGCTTAATCCAATGAAATGAATGAGGTTGGCTCACTACTAAATTTACATAGTTTTGTTTGTTGTTTATAACCAAAGTATTTCTGATTAAAGATATATTCTTTCGAATAAAGAAATATTTAAATTAATGTAATATTTAATAGGAATAATATATATTTGTAAAATCTCAGCAAATGAATTTGAAGTAAATCCAACGTTTCGCCTGGCAATCTGGTCCAAGCTTTTTCAAGGATAATACCTTGTTGAATTTACCTCAAATTCATTTGCTGAGATTCTGCAAATATATTATTCCTATTTAATGTCTTACATCAACTCGGCGCTCAAATACTGTGAAACTATTCGATCTAATTTAGACGACATTTCTTATATAATGTAATATTTTAGATCAGATGAATGATCTTAACGCAAATAAGTTACACACTCAATAATTATATTTGATCATCTAATAAGTAAATAAGACTAAAATCTGAGACCTACAATTTTAACTACATTAAAATGTCATAGAAAAACCTGTTCTTTCTTGATTTAAAATAATCACATTTCATTTAACACTAATATATTGGAACATTTCTTTTACGGTTATAATTTGTTTGTTTTGATTTGTAAAAGATTTGTAAAAAAGGATCTAAAAACATTTCACGTATCTAGGTGTTCAAAGAGCTGATTCATCAAGCTCACTTATTTTTTTGAAAGTAAGATTAGTATGTAGTCAAGGTATGTTTAGGATTACTAAATAATCCACTTTTCATAAGGAATTCAAATTCTAATCAATAAAATAAATTCATTAGCCCCAGAAACAAAACTTTTGTAAACAACATATTTTGATTAAGTATGTTTTAAGAATTTAGTGTATGGTGTGATTGTTTACTAAAATACTTAAAAAAGTACATTGTAATTACTTGAAAACTATTCCCTTAGGTTATGAATAATTATTCCTTATTGTTTAAACGAGAAACCTTTGTATTTACATTCACTTAGTATTGTGAATTTAAACTTCACCCCATTGCACAAGCAAGCGGCTATCAGGACTCAGTAGTTGAGTGGATAACGTGATGGCGTTTGACGCGAAAGGTACTGGGTTCGAGTCCCAAAGTGAACATTAACACTGAGATGCAGGTACGCCCAGCTGACGAATCCCAGATAGGACGAAACGCGCATCCTGGATTCCACTGCTAGCCACTATCCATCTTGGCTCATAATGCTTTGTATTTATAATTAAAATAACATACTATAGATCATCTTATATCACATATATACATATTTATGAATCTTAAGTACTTTATAATGTAGACTTTTAACTATGAATAATAGTTTAGTGATAGCAGATGCATTTTTAAATATGTTCAAATTTAGTGATCACAATATTGAAATGTTAAAATTTCTTTCTTTCATTCATTCAATTTAGATTCAGCGTTTTTGAAAGGACGACGTGTTTTAATATATTTTCTTGTTCCTTTTGGTTTATTACTGGCTATTCTTGGATTAATTGCTTACATGTTTGTATTTCGACGTAAACGAGCTCCAAATCATTTAATATCCTCTAGTAATGAAAGATGTATATTACGAACTGCTGAACTCAGTCCTAAAGCATATCATGTTATACCAAATGGAAAGAAATCTTCTAGTTTAAATACATCATCTAGGCTATCTTCAAATAGTCAAAATACTGGTAAACCAAATTATTCATATATGGGAATTCAAACTACTTATAATTCAAGTGATAATCAACACAATCAAGCATCAAACGGACAAGAACTAATAAATCATTATCCTAACATTCAGGTTAATCCATCACGTTTTAATCAGTCTGTGAATTTTTCTCAAAATACTCCAATTTCAAGTGATCCTAGACTTCTTTTAAATATTAGCGACGATTCTAGTCGTGTAAACAGTAAGGCAAGTTCTGGATCATTTATGAACGGTAACTGTTTACCTACTACTCATCCATCTCACTGTATTTTACCTTGTCCTCCCAATACTCATAATATGACACCATCCAATCATAGTGATATTCAGCAAGCAAGAAATAACTTCAATCAGTTTCCAGCTTATTTCATGAATTCAAATGAACAGAACTTAAATCCCCAAATGTTTAACGAAAAATCTCTACAACCAACATATCAACCTGCACCATTCCCAGGTTCAATACCCAATTTTATGCTTAGTGTACCACCAGCTCCTTCTAACGCTAGTGAAATATCATTTGATCAGTATTCAGCAGTAAGTCAAAGTCCAGTCTCTTCAAGTACTCTTACAAATCATTACACAGCTCCATTTAGTGAATTTGTTCATAATGAAAATTCAGAATGTAAAGATTTTCGACATCATTTTCAATCTCATTATCTTCAAACTTAACAAATACTCAAAATTAACTGATAAACAACGAAAATATGTTTTCAGCTAAATAATGAAATAGGCTCATATATTTTTGTAAATAAAACATACTTTATTTCTCTTCCAAAAGTAAAATCTGAAAAATTTAATTTTTTTTTCTTTTTTTTTTACAATCTTAATCAATTTTGTCAACAAATTTGCCATTTACTTCACCACTTACATGAACATATTACTTAATTTACTTGATCTTCATTAGTATAAATATATATAGTCACGGTCTCGAATATTTATTTACTGAATAAAACAATTTTTAAGTTTGCTAATATTTATAGTATCTTCAGAATGCATTTAACACAATAGAAACAGCTTGTAGTATCTTTAAAACAAGCGCACAATCATTATTACGGTCACAGGGTTCAATAAACAATGAATTTCCCTTTATTTCTTCAGTGAAATAATTTTTCTAATAATCAATAAATTTAAAGAAAAATAATAATTTTGTTTTTCATTACTTCACGTAATAGGTAACTTTTTTTTGTATTGAAGGAACAAATCTAAACACCTGATTTTAATGCTCATCAGTGTATAATGAAAATATAATGATGAATGGCATTATTTTTTTTTCTTTAATTCCCCCCCTCCTTCAATAAATCATATGGAACATTCTCATATTACTGCCGGTTACAAAAGAAATGTGTACACTTCAAATAAATCATGTTGTATAATTACAATGACTAAAACACTATTAACATTAAATTCATTATCAACATGTATATTTTATACACACTTTATCTTTCATCAAACATACATGTATTATGTTCTTTTGTCTTTTTAAATTTAAATCGAATATTTACTTTGATGAATAAACCTTGTTTTTTTATTTACTAGCTGTTTATTCTATGAACAGAAATTGCGATCAAGACTATGATCTGGGTCTTTTTCTCATTAAGTCAATGAAGGGAACTGTTGTGAAGTGTGATTTTGGAGACTTATTTCACCTCCCTCTCCAAAAGTTTATTGAGTTGTTCAGTGTTAAATTGAGATACTGATACCCAATCTTCCTGTAAATTAGCCTAACTGGCTACTTCAGTGAGTAGACTGAAAATGAAAAAAAAGGCTATTCAAATCGACATGTATGTAAACTCATTCATACATGTATCTGTCCGTCGGAAAATCGAGCCACTCATGGTATACATTTTGTACGTTAGAGACATTTGGCATTTCTTGATCAATCATATGCACTTGTCATTTGGTCAATTTCTGATTAGCCCGATATATCAACACACATCAGCATCCTCTAGGATTTCATGCACATATGTTCTTGTACTTTATTCGTTTTTTTAGTTGATTAAAATTGCTCTTAGATTTAACCAAATAAATCTTACTTGGGAGTAAGAGTTTTTCCTAAATTATATTACCAATTAATACTAAGTAATATCATGGGTAATATTCAACCTTGTATTGAATAACTCTGGAAGGGATATGGATTGACCAAAACGTACACACACTATGCATGTTTATTGACCACATAGACATTTACATAAGCTTGAGAATAGTTTATGGTGAAAATTACTACCAATCTAATGAAGGAACTTCCCATTCTTCCATATTCTTTACTAAATTTATAATTCTGTATTTACGATTCGCTCATTCACTAAGGGCAACACCTAGTTAAAGACACTCAGTTAAGGTATCAAGACCAGATAAAGTCACGATCTGCTGCAAAAACCTTTCCACACTCTAGATAGCTAGCTTAAAAGTTTGTGATATTTGTATTCAATAGTGATTTATCTGTACAGTACTCCGCGCTTATTACGAAATCTAAATACAATACATTTAGCTGTACTCATAGAGGTCTATTCGCTCTAAATTGGATTATTATGGGTATTCTTAGTTAGAATTCCAACCAGACTACTTCTAATTATCGTAATAACTAATGTCGCCGGACCTTTACATACAATCAGTCATACATTCTACTAATCAATAATCACCTATCTTCCTTTTTAACTTCAGGTCAATGCATTAAAAGATACTTGATTACCATCGTTCGATTCACTTGATTTTCGGGGTCACACATTCAGTAAAAATTATAATGTAGATTTTTTAATACAAAGGGCAAGAGAACATACCAAAAGATAGACAAACACCTTTTATATATAATAAGATTACGTTTATCTGGAAATGTTATGCTTGTGCCTGAACGTTGTGGAGTACAGATTTCATTACATCGCTGTCATAACCACAAGAGAATTCTTGAGCTGCTTTTATTATCGCGAAATCGGTTCAGAAACGTGATGGTATTGCGTCGAAGGGGGATATTGTTTTGTGTTCAATGGAATCCCTCACGAGATGACCCTCTGAGAACCAAAGGATACTTAACAAATCACAGCGAGAGTCCATGCCCTTCATTTGGATGAATATTTACTTTACATTCACAGGTTTGGGAACTGGTTGTTCAAAAAAACGTAATAGCGTACCTTGGTAGAGTAAGTCATTTAAGAAGTTCCTAGTGACTCCAGCAGCATAATCTAACATCACTTACTATCAGTGGTCTCTTAAACCTGAATACTGGACGACAGGGTAAATATCAACGGGGATAATAAGAGAGCGACAACAAATAGTGTTTTGAGGACCTTCAACAAACTGTGACATAAATCCCTGGCATTTGTTATCGCGGTCTGAAGTAAAGGAAGTGTCACCACTGATGTCCACTTTTAGATTTAACGACTCTTACTCCTTCAAAAGATCCAAACTTGATTTAATTGACTGTCTTTTGACCTTTGAATTTCCAGTTCTTGTCTTTCCCCAAACAGTCATCTTTCAGCACAGCTGAGGTTATTCTAAGAGTAGTACTACTATCCCAGCTAACTAAACTAGCGATAGAGCCATAGCATGAAGATGTAGTGGGAGAAACGTTTTGTGCATTTAAAGTTACGTCTTCTCGAATTACACGTTTATGACCCAAAATGGGACTCATGAAAACTTTTCTTATGCTCCTGGCAAAGATACCAATAATTTATCGGTTATCCCATGCTATTGTAGTGACCTACTTTTATGAAGAGAACACGATTTGTATAACGGAAACAATTCTTACTACTGTTATTACTATTACTACTACCAGTGATTGTTTTACTGTACTCCTTTTTTAAGTTTACCAAAGATACTCTTCTTCCGTTGCTTTGTGACCTGGTACGAACTCGCGTACACTCAGTAGTCCCACTTGTAAACTTTGGCATGACCTTGATACTATTTCGATACCAATAAATACATTTAACCTAGTAACTGGCATATAGTTTTCCTGTAGTGGTGATCATAGTCAACCGCGACTCCACGCCTACTACATCTGGCGACTCAAAATTGCGAACACATTTCAACCACTGGGAAACCTCCCAAAGGAGATTATCACGGTGAGTCTATTACTTATCTACCCACGTTTGTTGCACATTTTCATACTGATATCTTTCAATATATAATATTCTAGCAACAACTGGAAATGGTGGATAACAATAAGAGTAGTATTAATAAAGTAGACTCCGAGGTACAGGTCATCAATTTCCGACCTGTCTTTTTTATTTCCGATGATCGAGAAGTTTGGTTCACGGCACTTGAGTCTCAATTCGAGATCCACCGCATTACGAATCAACGGCAGAAATACACTTACGCTCTGGAAACTTTACCAAGAGACTCAATGCTGCTGTTCGTGAGGTAGTCCTCAACTCTAATGTACTTAACCCTCAAACGTTTCTTCTCATCGAGGGAGGAACGCTTGAGGACATTATAAGCACGTCACCTTCTGGCTGACCTTAAACCGAGCCACTACCTCGTGCCCCTGCAATCTCTTGCACGACCCACGACAGCTGATTCCGAAATCGTTGAAGAAATATGGCTCAAATCTATGCCAGCACATATACAACCAACGATTTCGGCCTTGCTCGAGGATACGGCACGTAACCAGATGGCCCTCATAGCAGACAAGATGTTGGCAAGGACTAGCACCCGAAACAACTATACAGTTGCCTCAAAGTTACGCTCGAACGTAGATCTCGACACTAGACGCCTTTCGGTTCTAGGTGATAGGGATGGTTGTATCCATACCCGTCTCAATTTCCGAGACGTTCCAATATACCAGAACCCGACGTCCCCCGAACCGAGTCACGCTCGCTTTGAGTGGGCACATTCCAAGCCATGTCAAAAGGCGGCATCAGAAGCGAGTTCGGGTTGATGCTGGTTCCACCGTGCCTTCGGGGCCTGTGCCTGCCATTGTCGAGCTCCCTGCCCATACAAGTCGGGAAACTCTAGAACCGGCGAGTAAATGCGGCCATACTCGCTGACCCTTCATCTCAGGTTGGCTGTTTATTTTATGTGCACGACTGTCGCACTAACGCTAGGTACCTAGTAGATACAGGTGCCCATGTTCCCGTCGTACCTATTGGTAACAGTAAGTCTTAAGCTCCGATGCTTCGACTACGCACGTCGAACGAACCAGTCATTCCTTCCTATGGTACATGACAACTTACAGTCAACCTGAGCAACCATCGACAGTATCTGTGGACTTTCATCATCTCCGATGTTCCCACAAACATACTCGGTATCAATTTCCTACAGCACTATGAACTTCCACTCGATTCACGATACTTCGTTCAACAATAAATTCATGGGCTTTCAAGCACAAACAAACGCGTACAGAATCATAGGCGTATTTCATTCGCGTGACGATATATTCCACGCTTTATTCCAGAAATCCGCCCAACTAAATAAACCTCTTGAAGGGATCCTATTGGTGACCAATCGTGTAATACACCACGTTGTCACTCACGGACCTCCAATCACGGCAAAACTTTGCCGGCTGGTATCGGACAAATTATCTTTCGCTAAACGTGATTTCGACAACTTACTAGCTACTGGTATTATTCGTCCTTCTCACAGTCCCTGGGCCTCACTTTTCCATATGGTTCGTAAAAAGGATGAAGTTAGTTGGAGACCATGCGGCGACTACCGAGCATTAAACGTAGCTACGCATTTTGATGGCTACCCCAACCCCCACAAACACATCAGAACATCACTCAAGGGCACGACTATTTTTTCTAAGATCGATCTGGTACGAGTATATCATCAGATCCCAGTCGCTATTAAAAACACCGAGAAAACCGCTATCATGGCTCTTTTCGGTCTATGTGAGTTCTTCCGAATGCCATTTGGATTACGGGATACTGCTCAAACTTTCCAAAGGTTTATCGATAACATAGTATGAGACCTAGATTTCGTCTATATTCGTCTATATTGATGACCTGCTAATCTCATCATCAAACGTAGATGAACATTATCAGCACCTAACACTAGTATTCCAGCACCTTTCGGATAAAGGAATAACAGTAAACCCGGATAAGTGTGAACTTGGAAAACCGGAAATAATTAAGCGAGAGGGTATTTACCTAGTGAGGACAAAGTGTGTGAAGCAATGGAGTACACCATACCGTCCACACTCGATGAACTGAAGGCATTTCACGGTTTTGTTAAATTCTACCGACGTTTCATCCCACACGCGGCAGAACGGTCACGACGATTAACAGGCATTCTTCGCAGTTATCCACGCAAATTGGAATTGAACGATGCTGCATGTACTCTAGATTAAGCTGCTCCCCTCGCTCATCCTGACCCATCACCCACGCTTAGTGTAGAGACCGATTCGTAAGATTTTACCATAGGAGCCGTTATGCAACAAAACATTACTGGAAGTTGGCAACCTCTCAAGTTTTCTTATGACACCTCACTCCCACGGAGACGAGGTATGGCGCATTTGGTCGAGAACTGCTGGGAACCTACTGTGCTATCAAACACTTCCGGCACGCAGTAGAAGGTCGCAATTTCATCCTATTCTAAGACCATAAGCCTTTAACGTATGCTCTGCATACCAAGTCTAACCGCTACTCACCACGGGAGTGCAGACAATTG